CCCCAATAGCAATATAAAAAAAATCCAAGATAGCATTTCTGACTTTCCAAAAGAGGAAAAACATGTTGTTGGTCAAAAGAGAGAGAGAGATGTCAAATTTGCCATCACTCCCTCATCCTTTGTATTAGAAACACTGATGCCGCAGTGTTAACTAGTTTTAGGTAAGCCAAGGTAAGAAAACACAGTATAATATAAACACAAAAGTATAATGTTGATAATGTATTAAGTAAAAAAAAATAAATAAATAAATATATATATATATATATATATATATGTGTTAATAACTTTGGAAATGCCTCATCACAGTCTGTGAAAAGGGTCCATTATGAGGGGGTATGAATTAAAAAATAATGATGTGCACAGATGAATCATTTATAATAAACACTGCAATATTCAATAAAAAAAAATCTCAATTTTGATATGGTGGTGACTTTAACTTAACAAAAAAGGCTCAGTATCTTGCAGAAGTACGTACTAACATTGCACTTGAATGTTCAGCTAGCGAGCTATTTATGTGGCATAACAATGTAACTTTTGACATACATACTGCTGTAGAGTGGTCTGAGAACTCTGACCACAGCTGCCTTCATTAAAAGACCTGTTTCTACACACGTGTCTAGAATTCTGTAAAATGCGTAGGCGTGAGTGCCTAAAATAGTTATCAAGTGTGCATTCTCACGCAGCCCTTCTCTGTGAACGTCTTAAATTTAAACCATTAAGCCACTGAAGTGATTATGAAAAATGTCACACAATACAGATTGATATATGAAGGTGCGCTTTCTAATTTTGAGCATGTTGGAAATACTACAACGCATGTAACAACCAGCCGGTTTTGCTTTAAAAATGTATAATTTTATAGTTGCTGCATAAGACAAGACAGAGAACCTGAAAAAAAAATCTGTTCAGTGTTTAATATGCAATTTGTCAATAGTTAGCCATTAAATTACCAACGCTAGCTAGCGAACCAACCAATAAACAAAAACGAACAAATAAATGGATAAATGGAAAAATAAATAAATAAGGGCAGGAATATTGCATATTTTTCATAAAAACATTGATTAAGCGTGCAAAAGTTCTCTGTTTTTACGGTTAATGGATAAACTCATTGTTTTAAAATAAATATATTGTGTACTAATGTAGATCAGTAGTGTAAAAATGAATGTAAAAATTATTTTAAATTAATAATGTGCATTGAATGCCTCCAGATGTTAGCAATTTCCATGAAATTTGTTGAAGACCATACCTTTAATCCCTGCTTTGCTGTGCTTGCATGGGACATTTGTTCATAGCACACCTCCGGAGACATTTCAAAATGCCCTGCACAGAATTAACAAGCATTAAATACATAGCAATGTCATCATAACAGCATAATTATTAGCAGTAAATAGTAGGCATACACTGGATTACTGTATTTATGAGCTATACCTACCTCCTCCATCTAAACAGATATTTCCATAAATAGGATTTTCCTGTCTTTCCATCTCATCATCCTCAAACCTGCACAAAATATAACCAAATGTATTTAAATGATTCAAAGGGCTGTTGCTTATTACATTTTAAATCAAAAATTTTTTCCCCTTTTTGTGAAAAAATACATTAAAAAATTGTAATTCAAACAATATGCTGTTAAATCACCTGTAAGACCGAAGTGAATCTTGACGTAATGGCTCATCTCCATATTCTAACATGTTTTCATTAACTGATAAAAAAAAAAAAAAAAGAGTTTATAACTGTGACCTCAAGTTGTTGTAGATTTGTCATTATTCATTCATCTTTCTATATGTTCTATAAAAGTCAAATGTATGAAGCATACCTGCATATATTTTTTTCTTTCTTCTTAATAAACAGAATACAACATTTAAACACACAGATATCAGCAGTGCAGTCGATGTCAGACCAATGGCCACATATTGATTTGTGCAGTTTTCTGGTTATAAAGAGATAATTAACAGGTCATGATTGGATGAATATTGCATTGGCTTCCCATTACATCTTATCTAATATTTATATTACAACATTTTATATTCATTTTGTTACACAATAGCAATTATATTGCCTGACGTTTATCAATATAAACTGAAACAACAACAACAGGCAATTGGTGCAATCATTATTTTAGAATGATTTTTTTACTTCTTCTTAAACATGTCTTTCAATTAATATTTTAATATTTCAATTGAATATTTTATTATTTACATAAAAAGTGTTACAGATCTTTTTCTTCTTTTTTTAATTCTTAAAACTTTCAATAAATATTTTTATATTTCAATTTAACATTTTATGTATTTATATAGAAAATTGTTGTAGTAAGGAAAGTTGTTTGAGTTTCTGTAGATGTCATCACACTGAAAGAATTTAAAGAATCTCTACCAATATAATTATTATCATTCATATCATTAATAAACTTCACTAGTTGTTTTGTGCAGATTAATTACTGTATAATTTACTGTATTATTCAAAGAAGGTTCAATATGTCAGGGTTTGATTTAAATCCATCACTATTCTAAGCCTTAAGAACAAAAAATGACTGAGAACCATAAAGAAAACATGCAAAAATACAATTATGAAAGAAAATTTTTTTTTGCAGTTTCAGTCTGCCATTAAAATGATGAACTACTGATTTAGACAACAAAACAGCTTTCATTTAAACTCAACGTGTTAGAAAACCGTCAGCAGAGAACAATCCCATACAAAAGCGATAAAGCATTTTTCCTCTTACCTGGCATCCTGATTTTATAGGGTCAAATGTCCAATAAATCCTTGTCTGATAAACCCTTTCACCTGTATGTGAGCATGTTCAGCAAGAAGTGCACCAATGTTGCTGCTATTTTTATCGTCTTTAGACGTTTTCGGTTACAAACAGGAAATGTGGCGGCTACCTTATTCGTTGCAAGCGTTCACATCACAAGAAACACATGGAGTCTACATTCCGTAGTGTCATGAACCACTCTCTATTGTTGAGATGTACATCGAAAGCACTTCATTTTTACGGTTGTCATTGTATTTATTTATTAAAAATGTTTTTGAAAGAATTTGCTTTTGAAAAGTTCCTTGTTACATTTTGTGAAATTTGTCAAATCTGTTGTTCGTTATCTCGATTTTCTCTATTAAAAAGTATATTGCCTTTATGTTTATTTATTTTATAATTTATAATTAAAAATTAGGTGAAAAGTACGAAATCAAACGTATCTACCATAGACACTGAGAGTGCTGCAATATTTAGATTAGCACTTGACGAATATGGGTTTTTCCATGACCAATTCTTAAAATTTTACCATTGTTGCCCCAATCCTGAATATTTGGTTACATCCATGAGATCAAATACTTTGTTGTACAGCAATTTTATTGTAAAATCTAAAAACAAATCATAATTTGAATTTACAATATACAACTAAAATATTGCTAAAATGTCAAAGTCAAAAGACAAACTTATTATGAAAACAAATGTTATTATAATTACAATTTATTACAATATACAACTAAAATATTGCTAAAATGTCAGTCAAAAGACAAACTTATTATGAAAACAAATGTTCTTATAATTACAATTTATTACAATATACAACTAAAATATTGCTAAAATGTCAGTCAAAAGACAAACTTATTATGAAAACAAATGTTCTTATAATTACAATTTATTACAATATACAACTAAAATATTGCTAAAAACTACATGATTTTTCATTTTCTACTTTCTGTATTCTGTATAACTGAACTTTCACGCACTGTACTTTATTCTGTGAGGCAAAAATAAATGGAAATAGAATTTTGCACATTTTTTACACAATTGATTATTTTTCTCATGCATTATTGGTAAATGACCTATATACATCATGAAGTACAATAGTACATTGGAGACCTGATTGTATACAGTGCAGGATACAGATGATCTAAACACTGAAACAATCAATCCTTTTTTCTGAATTTTCCATTTCCGACCACAGTAGCGAGAACAGGAAACGTCCCTCTGCATAAACGTGTCGCTGTTGTAGCAAAGAACCACAATGCACAAAACTCTGTACAAAAAGCAACTCTCTCTTTTTCTTGTTTTCTCTGTCTTAACACACATACACTCTCTAATAGTCATATGTCTCTGTTCATTAATCAGAAATGCCTTTCATTTCCATCTTCTCCCACATTGAATGAAGGCTTGTTTTCAGGGGTAAACTTCATTTTAAAATGCCGGATGTTGTATAAGCAGCATGAACAGAACTAAATTCTGCTTTGTTCTAAGCACAATATAAACAACCACCAGCTGTGCTGTTACTGCAAGTTATAATATATGGTGACCAGAGCTGGAATTTGTATTTGTAGATTAGACCTGTAAGGTTTAGGATACATACTGTCTCTGTTGGTCACTGTCTGATGTGGTTTTGGCAGTTGGTTTGTCTCGACTATCTGAGGTGTAAACTGAGGTTTTATGGGGCCTGAAACAATCAGCTGATAGCCTTTGCTTTGTTAACAGAACATGCAGCCACAACAGGAGGTCAGTGTTGGCATGTAGACTTTATTTCAAAGCTATCTGATTATGAATAGTGCTCACTTATTTTCTTTGCAGTTGTATTGTAACAGTATTAAAAGCCATCATTGCAACTGACAGCCTCATTTATTGAACACACACACACACACACACGCACGCACACACACACACACACACACACACACACATACATTATTAAACTCTAAAGTTACCTAAGGCCTAGTCATATTTCATATTTCTGGAATTTACTCGGTTTTTGACCCCACCCTCACACACTTTTTTTTATTTTTTTAATTCACACATTTCAGGGAAAATTTTACATAGTTATGATGTAGGAGTAGTATGTGTGCTAAGTAAAACTCAAGATATTCGATAATATATTTAATGTCAGTAAAGCACAAGCAAAATTCAGTCACATTTTTTTTTCATCTAAAAAAGAACGAACTAATTATTTATAAGAGTAACAGATTTTATGTACAGTCAATTCAGAAATACAAAGAAAATAAGTAAAAAATACTTTAGTTAATTCACCCAAAAATAAAAATTCAAATCCATAAGACTTTCAAAAAACATATTATATATTTGATGTACTCTATGTACTGAACAATGTTTATATAAAAGCTTAAATTAAATCTGTTCATCATATAAAGTGACTGCCTCTTCAGAAGACATGAATTAAACTGGGAGATTCATATGGGTTACATTTACAATGTCTTTATGAACTTTTTGAAGCATCAAAATACTAGTTGCGTGGACTGTCAATGGAAAGACAGAAATCTCTTAGGTTTTCTTAAAAATATCTTCATTTGTGTTTTGAAGATGAACGAAACTTCATGAGGATGAGTAATTGATGAAACAATTTTCATTTTTGGGTGAGGCCTTTAGGGAAGAATCTTCCATGTCAGCATATTTGTGGCCCACGGTTTGTAGGTTCTCAAGTACATGATACGTTCACACTAGAATATCAGTCATATAGACATCATGGTTCCTCACTGATGTGTATTTCACTGGTGGTGGGGGAGGTTTGAATGGAGGTGGCATATCCATTCTGAAAAGAAAAAGTAAAAATGTAGATAAATGGACTGAAAATGTGTAGGATGCGATTATGTAAAAGGACAGAGGATGTGCTGCTGATTTTTGTGTGTCTCACTTTTTTTGGTTCTGGTGTCTTCTGTATAGAAGCACAATCAACACGAGTAACAACAACACAATCGGGACAGCGATATATGTCGAGCTTTTTGAGGCTGAAAGAAAAACAAAAGATATGTATAGAAAAGTCAACCCAAAAAAGGCCTGGTTTTATAATTAGCTCAGATTGGCCTAAATTCATATCCTGTTTATACTGTCATGTGCATGTCTGTTTGAGAACAAAACACTGATATCAATCTGTGATAAGTGGGGCAGGGCCGATGGTTGTGGGAACGGAGCAAGGCCGGTGGAGTAAATGATAATGAGAGACACCTGTGCCACTCACTGCTCATTATCATTTACTCCACCGGCCTCGCTCCATTCCCACAGCTCTCGGCCCTGCGTCACTCATCACACAACCATAGATCACACACTTTAAATCAAACAGCGTGACGTCATATACAGTGCCTTCCACTAATATTGGCACCCTTGGCAAATATGAAAATAAATCTGCATCGTTTATCCTTTGAAGTAAAACAATGAAAAGTAGGGGAAAAATCTAATTATGAAATAAATCTTTTTCTGTAGGTTACGTTGGCCACAATTATTGGCATCCAACGTTCTTTTCCCAAGGTTTCCCAAGCTCTGAGTTATCTCCTATAATGCCTGATGAGTTTGGAGAACACCTTACAAGAGATCAGAGACCATTCCTTCATACAGAATCTCTCCAGATCCTTCAGAATCACAGCTCCATGTTGGTGCTTCTTCTCTTCAGTTCACCACACTCATTTTCTATATAGGGTTCAGGTCAAGGAACTGGGACGGCCATGGCAGAAGCTTCATTTTGTGCTCAGTGACACAGAGTTGATGCAGTTGATTTTGATGTTTGTTTTGGATCATTGTCCTGATGGAAGATCCAACCATGGCCCATTATAAGATTTCTAGCAGGGCAGTCAGGTTTAGATTTTTTTATCTGTTGGTATTTGATAGAATCCATGATGCCATGTATCTGAACGAGATGTTCAGGACCTCCGGCAGAAAAATAGGCCCACAACATTAAAGATCCAGCAGTATACTGTACACTGTATTTAACCGTGGGCATGGGGTACTTTTTAACCCTGTTCACACCAAACCCATCTGGTGGGTTTGCTGCCAAAAAACAGCAAACCCACCATTTTTTTTTTTCATCTGACCATAGAAGCCAGTCCCATTTGAAGTTCCAGTCGTGTCTGACAACTGAATATGCTGGAGTTTGTTTTTGGATGAGTGAGGAGAATTTTTCCATTTTGAAACCCTCCTGAACAACATGATGTAGAGGCTGTTTGATAATTTTTGTAACGAATCATCCACTGAAGGCGAGTTGAAGTGAGAACCCAAGTGCAGCTTTATTTACAGTGATCCAAACTAGACAGTGAGTTCATGAACGGCCTCCATGGCAAGACAGTCTGTGAGTTTGTGACCGGCCTCCGTGGCCGTGACAGGGCAGGCAGTGAGTTCGGAAGCGGACGCCACCACCTCAGGAGGTTTACAAAATAAAAGACATGGAAAACATGAACATGAAACAACCCCCAAAACACCACATTACAATTTTTTAGGCTTTCTGACCCCAAGACTCAACTAATCTCTGCTATTCTGCAGCTGTGATCCTTGGAGAGTCTTTGGCCAGTCAGACTCTCCTCCTCACCTTGCATTAGGATGATATAGACACATGTCCTTTTCCAGACAGATTTGTAACATCTTTATTTGACTGGAACTTCTTAATTATTGCCCTGATGGTGGAAATGGGGATTTTCAATGCTTTAGCTATTTTCTTAAAGCCACTTTCTATTTTGTGAAGCTTAACAATGTTCTGCACATCAGAATTATATTCTTTGGTTTTACTCCTTGTGATGGATAATTAAGGGAAGTTGGCCTTTGTGTTCCTCATATTTATAATCCTGTGGAATAGGAAGTCATGGCTGGACAATTTCATGCTCCTATAGTCACCCTGGTGTGCTAAAGAATTATAAAAATAAATGGGAATATACTTCAGAGATATTTTACTCATAATTTCTAGAGGTGCCAATAATTGTGGCAAACATGCATTGGAGAAAAAAACTTTTATTTCATAATGTGAGTTTCCCCCCACTTTCCATTGTTTTACTTCAATGAAACGTTAGAATTTTGTGAATGTTTTGAATGAAAGATCAAAAAGATAAACGATGCATATTTATTTTCATAGCCGCCTTTGCTCATATTTACCAAGGGTGCCAATATTAGTGGAGGGCACTGTATGTGTCTGTAAGGCTCCCGAGTTACAGATAAACATGTCAGATTACATTATTGTGTGTATTTAATTAGTTTCAAATCAACATAAAACATGACCACTTGTAATTCCTTAGTATGAAACCGATTCAAACAATATTCAAAGGGAATATTCCAGTTACATTCCTAATACATGACAGATAAGTTGATTTTGATTGAATCTAGGCTATATAAAACATTATAGGCTGTGATGCTCGCACTGTGATCTACTTACTGAAAATTAAATGAAGAAAAATTATACACAATTTTAAATTTAAGTTAATTTAACTTGATTTAATAATGATTGTCGTATGATGCATTGCTGGATCTTGAAAAGTGGGTGTTTCTTATCAGAATGGACTCAAGCCTGAATGAGAGTTGATGCGGTCAATAGTGGAGGCCTGTTTGAGATCCCAAAGTTAATGCATTAAAAAAAAAAAACGTTATTTGCTATTATTGCCATGCCATTTCTGTGTTTTCTGGTTTTAATACATTTAGAAAGCAGCGATTACCTGTAACAATAAGCATTACCAAAAGTAGTGATGGAGAAAACATAGCTTTTCAAAACTCTGAATCATTTGCTTCGTTGACAAACTAGATGTTTTAATGAAAATGTAATCTATCAAATGTAATCTAGAAATAATTAAATATCAATAAATATGAAGGTTCTGTAAAATTTGTGCTATTGTGTGTTGTGTGTTAGCTATTAAGCAGGGCTTGGCAAACTATGTCAATTAGAATTAGGGGTGCAACGGTTCAACTTACGGTTCGGTTTGTATCACGGCTATAGAGTCACGGTTTCGGTACGGTTCGGTATGTGCTATGTTCAGGGAAAAAACGATATTGTCAAATAAAAATAAAGAAAATAAGAACAAATAATCTAACTACAAGCAACAGCACAAATAAATAAACAGTGAAAAAATATACAAATAAAATAAACAGTGCTTTTCAGTTTTTTTAGGTAGGTCTAACATAGTTTTTAGGTACAGAAATTGAATAAATCAAATGTAAAATAACATTGCATATTTGACTGTATAAATTAAAGATTAATCCTTATTAAAGTTACAAAAGTTATTCAACCAAGAGCAGTGAGTGATTTCCGTGTTGTTGCTGTTTGATTAATATTAAGAAAGTGCTGTCACTTTAAGAGAACGCACTGATCCAGTGCACTGATACTGTATGTTCAGCCGACTATGTCTGCTAGGATACTCACCAAGACCGGCATTTTGACATAATTTTTGAGTGAATTTGTCCATTCAAGCACAATACTTAAAAGAGAGCTTAATATTTGCCAGTGTTCTGAGACGCAGGTTCACGCGCTTCGGATGAGCGACCACACACAGATCTTCTCACTGCGCACGCGAGTTCACGTCTTCTGGCTCCTTAATATTTAAACTGGCAAGGCTTATATGAGTTTAGTTTAAACACAGATAGCAACGTGTGCTGTTCAGGTCTCACCTGAGCTATCAACAAGTGATGACGGCATAAATGACAGTTATTCCAGCATAAAGCACTCGCATTGATTAAAGAGTGACTGGTTTGTCCACGTATTGTTTTTTTCTCTCTCTCATCGCTCTTGTTGTAATGTATTGGGAAGCCAGAATTTGTATCCATCAACAGAAACATGCATTAACCGAACTCTAACAAACCATGTTACAGATGCATTGTCAGATTTAAGTTGAACCGCGGTCCTAGTGTATGCCGAACCGTGTGTGGAGAACGGTACGGTTCGATTTTTATACCGAGAACCGTTGCACCCCTAATTAGAATCAATTAAATATTGTTCTTTTTGTAATATACACGCACAAGTATTAAAATTCATTACGTTAATTTAAAATGAACCTACATTATAAAACTGACCCGGGAGCGGAGCAAACCATTTTTTGAGTAATTTGAGTGTGTTTTACCTTTTGGTGCTTTTTACCTTTTGCTGTAACAGTGGTGATGTTTTTCTGTGTTATAACAGTGGTGACTCTTTCTCTTCTGGTAGCTGGATCTGGAGTTGTGCTCAAACTGTCTGTAGAGGTATCTGTAGATTTTACAGTACTTGCATGTAATGTAGATGCATTGCCAACAGGTGGAGCAGAAGAGCTGCCAGTGGGATGACTGGTGTGTCTGGGTTGTAGGGTTGTCATAGTGGCATTTGGTTTTATTGTGCTAGCCAGGAAGTGATCAGATTCTGTTGTAGACACAGTGGTATCATTGCTCCATGAGCTGGTCCCATTAGAGGTAAAGCTGCTCAGATGTTTGGTGGTACTTACTGGGCAAGGAGTTGTCATTCCTTTAGCAGAAATCATTACGGAAGGGAAAATGAAATATATAAAGAATGTAAATTAAGAAATATTACAATTACATACTACAATACATATTACAATAATAATACAGACCTACATATGTCAAGGGGTTTAGAAAAAGGATTATTATAATAATATAATATAATATAATATTATTATTATATTATATTATATTATATTATATTATATTATATTATATTATTGCATTAGACTACAGTAAAACTAGACCTTAAAAGCTGTATGGAATTGAAACAGTATTGGGATGTTTGTGGTGTGAGTTTGCACAATGATTCTATTCTATTCTATTCTATTCTATTCTATTCTATTCTATTCTATTCTATTCTAGTCTATTCTATTCTAGTCTAGTCTAGTCTAGTCTAGTCTAGTCATATTTAGTCTGACATGTAACAGAAAGTGCTCCCCACCTGTGGGTTTACCCAAATGTGTGCCAAAGGAACATTATATGATGCACACACACTCTAAGAAGATTTTGTAAAATAGGGCTCAACTTTCTGTATAAATTTTTCTCAGGTGTTTTACCCATATTTTAAATTATGCATTGCAATGTGTTGTGTTTTAGAGTTAAAGGAAATGTCTGTAAACTTGAAGGGTTAGTCTAGCAAAAAATCTAAACTATTATCATCATTTACTCACCCTCATATCATTCCACCCTATAGTTTCGGTTCCTATAGACTTCCATTGTACACACAAAGGAGGTCATTGGGGACCGAAACTTTTTGGTTACCAACTAATTCACAGTATCGTCTTTCATGCTCCACAGAAGAAAGAAAGTCAGTTCCTAATACAGGTTAGGAATGACACGAGGATGAGTGAATGATGACAGAATTTTAATTGGTATTTTTAACAGATAATGTCCTGGCAGAACATTGCCAGTATATTAATGTTTTTCTACAGATTTTTTTTTCTTACAGTGCACACATTTGTGAGCTAATGATAACGTTTATCCCCTACCATTAAATCGAACCATCACACAAACTTTCTGCATTTTTACGTTTTCATTAAGATTATTTAGCATGTTTATTAAGCCATTTTCCTCATTGGGACCATTGGCTGGTTACATCGTGGATGATTTCAGGTTTTACTATCCTTGTGGGGACATTTAGTTCCCACAATGCTGGTAAAACCTGACCCACACACACGCAAAAACACACTAACAGCCTTTCCTAAAACAATAAGTCCCGGAAGGCTTCAAAAGAGGGAAATCAATTAACCTCTGTTCCAAAATGTATAATTAATTCCCAAAGGCTTCAGTGGTATTTTCCATTGTTTGTGCTGTGTGCTTTGGGCAAACTGGGACTTTATCGTTTATTATTCACTTTTAAGAAGCTGTTTTTTTTGTTGTTGTTTTTTTTTTTACACAGGAATTTCAAATTGCCATGTGATCGCAGTTACAAAAAATGTTTTCTTACCTTGGCTTTGCTTTGAGAGAACATGGATAGAAAACTCCATGTCTGTCTGGAGTTGAGTCTTCAAAAAGACAGCTGTCAGTTGGTATGTTCCTGACTGGTCAGATGTTACGGAGGTCAGAGACAAAGTCTCTGACAGAGACAGTGTTGTGCCACCCTAAAAATCATCACATGGATTTGTAATTTTAGACAGTTAATACACTATAAATGGTTTATTTAAAGCAATACTGCTTTAATTTTTCATTTCAATCTCTTAATATTTCACAATCTTACCCTCATCCACTTATACTGCAACTGCAAGTACTGTGATGCTTTTGCGATACAAGAAATCATCACATCCTCACCAACACTGACGTTTAAAGGGCTGCTTGTGTTACACTCAATGCCATCAAGAACTGTTTGGAAAAGTAGGAATTATTTTATATGGATTTGTTTATATGTAAGAGCTTTTATTCGACAGGTAATGATAAAAAAAAAACTCAAACACCTTTTTAGGTGCAACTGATTTATATTCTCAATACAAACACTCACAATTCACAGTCAGTTCCATAGTGGCATTGAGACCTTGCTGATTTCGTACTAATGAGTCCCATTCAGGTAAACAGATGTACACATCGCTGTCGTTTCTGGTGATGTGTGATATAATGAACTCTCCTTTTGAGCTTTCCAGCCAAATTATCTGGTCCTGATGAGGTGAATAAGATCAACACAACAGTTGTATAAACTGTGGCATATAGAAATGTGTATTTTTCCATCTGACTCACCTTTGACCTTGCAAGTTTATAACGGAGTGGTGGAGGGCTAGCTGAACAAGTTATTTTCACGTCATCTCCCTCTTTTATGAATCCATATGGATATGACATCTTCACTGATGCTGGAGGCTCTGAAATTAGCAGACAGATCATACTTATTTGCTATTAAATGTGAATTAAATGTGAGAATGTAGGTTAACAGTAAGCAGTTTACCTGTGACTTGGAGCTTTGTGGTTCTTTTAATTGAGCCATTAGGATAAGATGTAATTTCGCAAATATAGTTTCCACCGTCATTCACTGTAACTTTATACAGGGTCAGGATTGAGCCCTGCAGCTTCCAAGTTTTTGAACTGGTCACTGTCTCCAGAAGAGAACCGGACTTAATATAATTTGTTGAGTACCCAGGATGGAACACAACAATCTTCTGATCGATCTTCTCATTTTCTTTTTGCTGTTTAATCCATTCCAGCTGGATAATTGTGACGTCATGCCCCTCTCCCACAATGCACTGCAGGCTGACGTTCTGTCCCTCCACAGCAGTTGCGGTCACATTATAATGTATAAGCACTCCGTACGTTCCTGATAAACCAATTTCATAAGTGATAGTCTGATTGTGTTGTTGATTATTTTAAAGGGGTCATATGATGCGATTTCAAGTTTTCCTTTCTCTTTGGAGTGTTACAAGCTGATTGTGCATAGATAAGAACCCTGAAGTTGCAAAGACTAAAGTCTCAAAACCAAAGAGATATTCTTTATCAAAGTTAAGACTCTGCCACGCCCCCCTAAAACGGCACGTTCTAACACGCCCCCACATATCTACGTCACTGTGTGGACATATTTGCATAATGCCGCCCAAATGTGCACGCAAAGAAAGAAGGCGTGGTTTCAGTAACCGCAGTTAGTGTTGAAGCAGCCATCTCAGGGAGACGCTGTGTTTCTAGGTGAAAGCAAAAGCACTTTATTTGGCCTTCCGAAAGTAGATGCATTTAGGAATCTTTAAGATCACTTACAACAGAACAGCAATGCATTTTATGGACGACCGTTTCGTGAACCTAGGAGAGGAGGTAATTCTGACTTTGCTATGACAATCTGGCGCTTCTGAAACAAAATAATGATCTTTAAAAAAGCATCATATGATCCCTTTAAGAGATGTGTTATTGACAAGGTTTCCCTTTTTCAAGCATTAGAAAAATCACCAGTGTCATCTGTAGTATAATTATGTGTCATTATATGTATAGACACCTTATTGGATAGGTCAAGAAAAGATAATATTTGATGACTGAAAATAAATGTCATATGTAACCATCAAGTAAAAAGCAATGTATTTTCCTTACACCTTAAATGCATGTGAATGTATCTTAATCATTATTTAAAATATTAAAATATAAAATTTAGGGGTGTTGCTCCACTTGACATTTTACAACCTGAACTAATCTTGCCTTGTGAGAAAAAGATCGTATTGTCCAATATTTAAAAGATTTATTGACCTTGAGGGTCATTTCATGATTTTTCTGCTTGATTGGACCACACGACTTTGATTTGATTTTTTTCCTCTAAGAAATAATAATAAAAGATTATGCTTGATAAATACTTTTTCAATAATTCATTCTTTTAATGATGATTTTGTCTTTGTTATGAAATCAGAACAGTTCAATCACACGGTCACTTTTGACTTTTATTTATTTTAACAGAGATTGAAAACAAGCTCATAGGATTATCTGTTAAATCACTATGAATGAATGGCATTTTGAATGCATTTCAAGTAAATGATTAGGACAAAAAGATAAGTGTCATGCCATAGACCTCCTAACCAAAGTACCGATCAGTTTAAAAGCTAGTAAACCTTTTCTTTGTAGGTAAAAATAAAAATTCAAGCTGCTCTTACCTTGTATCATGCATAAAAAAATAAGAAGTTTATAAGTTGGCTCTGCCATCAAAAAATCCATATCTGTGAGGACAACAGTCTTAACAGAGAGAGAGAGTCAGACATAAGCAGCAGCAGAGGCACAGGCACAGGAAGTGAGCTACACCACCAGAGAGACAGGAACTGGTTTATCTTCATCGTTTTACTTCTATAGTCTAGTCTGTCGGAATCAACAGTTGCTTGTTTTTTTTTCCACCAAGTGAACAGCAGAGGATACCTAATGGATAGATGCTCTGATGTTTAGAGTAGATTGGATGGAGTAATGGAGTTGGTCTTGATACTTTTTATAAGCACGGTAAACTTCTACAACAGATAATTATGACCTTATTTCTTTGCGTTGGCAGTCAAATGTTGACAGTCAGCATGTCTTCCTCGATTTCCTGTCAGAATGCATCTATGTAACAAGCTGCGGCCACGTTTACTCATACACAGACAGACACACACACACACACACACACACACACACTCTCTCTCTCTCACTCACACACACACACACACACACACATCAAAATCAAGATCACGTGAAATTTTAAAGCCCCTACAGGCAGTAGGTGTGTTATTGATTGTTTATATTATAATTAACAATGAGGCTGGTTGGCCAAAGTCCCCCGGCCAATGAACATTTCACTTCTTTCTTTGGTATTTCTTATGGTATTATAGAATTTACTGTTAATGTACATCCTAAATTTTGAATGTCCATTTTGGCCAGGACTCCGTGGTAGAAGAGATTTATATCTCAATGGGATAATTCCTGGTAAAATAAAGGATAATAATAATAATAAATAATAAATGAGACATGACAGGAAACTACAGTGGGGAGAGTGTGAATGCTCAGTTTAACAAACGAAGACATGTCAGCCTACTTCAGGTGCAGGCTTCGGAGCCACAGAATACTAGTAATGACATTACGTAATCAGGATACTTAATTAGGGACACACCGATATACAAAATTTGGACAATAATTTTTTTCAAGCAGGGGTTTAAGTAGGGGTAAAGAGCTCAATTCAAAATCCAATATGGATCAATAACTTAAATATATGTGTGTATGTATATATATATATATATATATATATATATATGTGTGTGTGTGTGTAGGCAGATTATCATGCCTATATTTGAATAAGATATTACTATGATCATAGATTGACAACGGAAGAGCAGAGAGACATCAGCTTTGTTTGATTTAAACTCACAGATGTCTCATGCTTCTGAACTAACTACCTGTTACCCAGAGATTCATGTGCATTCACATTATTCATATGCCATTTCCATTCCTCACGGCCTCTGGGGTCTGAAGCTCATAATCATTGTCTTGTAGAAAAATATCAAAATCACATACTATCAAATAATAATGAAGCAATGAGTGCTGTAAATGGGGAAGGAATTGATGGCTCTATTAGATTATTTTGGAGGGGATATAAGGGACGTCAGTGAAGGTGGCAGCTGATAGCAGTTTGGGGAGATATAAGCTGCAAAATATAAAATCAAAGCAGCATCTTAGTAATTATGAGGAAATGCGATAAAGAATACTGGGGACACTCGTACTTTGATATAGACATATAGTGTTGAGAGACAGGCTCGATGATACAGAGTAACAGAGTAACAAATAGGGAAATATTTAATCTGTATAAAGGATCTGATGTCCTCAAGTCAAATGACTTGAGAAGGTCGAGATCTGCTGTCATCTGTAATATTTGCCTGTCAAAATAACACACATTTGAGACTTTGTGTTCTGCCAAAGGACTAAAATATCCTCTTTCATTATAGGAATCAGTGAGCAAAGCATTTGATTCAGAAATTGAGTAAGTGTCTGATGTAATCCATACATAACCTCTAAAAATTGTGCTTGTGTGTCTGTGTGAGCCTCTGAGGCTGAATATCATAAATGCAGCCTGCATCATTTTAATGAATAATTCGGTGAATAAAATTGTGCAAATCAGGTAATCAGGCAGTCATGCACAAAATATTCTTGCTTGTCGTTATCAGCAATGACATGTGTCTTTGAGCTTGTAAACAGACAGAAATTGCACCCAGACAAGAGCAGTGAAACAAATGAAGTTCTGATGTAAGTTTCATCAGATATTCAAAAAGGAACAATCACTCGGAATACACAAAATCATGTTTAGCTTTGCTATAATGAGGCTTCAAAAAGGGATTCACCGAGTTCACCAGACTGTATCTTATCTTTAGCTATGCTAAGATATGTGCTTATGGTTCTCATCTCAAAAACTCCCGGTGTCATGCAAGATCCTGTCCTTATTAGAATATCACCCTTTTTAAGTGTCTGGTCAAAAACATGTGCATTATCATGATATCTTGTTCAAGCTAATCAAAAAAGAGTTTATTAACCTGTTTGTGTTTACCTAGCTTGTAGGCCAAGCTGTTAGTTTGCTAACTGCAGGCTAACTGGAAACAAATAAATGGGAAATGACCAGCCTCTGTAATATAATATGACAGCAATATGTAGGCTAAGCTGTTAACTTGTCTTTAATGCTAAGCTGTTAGCTTGCTAACCAAAAACAATTTATGGGAATTGTTTTGATGATTTCAGCTTCTGTCCCTTATGAAAATTAACCATGGTTTTACTGTAGTAAATGTATAGTAACCATGTTTTTTTGGTGTATTGATTGCCATTTGTATAACCACAGTTTTACTACAAATACCATGGTTAAACTATGGTCAGTGTAGAAAAACCATGGTTAATTTGTGGTTACCATGGTTTAACTATAGTAACCATGTTTTTTGGTTTTATTTGTAGTAAAACCATGGTTAATTTTCGTAAGGGGTAGCCTATAATGTGATATGCATGATGTAGGCTAAGCTGTCAGCTAGCTAACCAGATGCTAACTAAAAAGAAACAAAATGTTTAATTTGACCATTTTAGCTTCTGTAATATATATAATATGCAATACATAGGCTAAGCTGTTAGCATACCTTTATTTAAGCTAAGCTACCTTGTTAAATAAAGTCTAAATGAAAACAAATCAAGGGAAATATTTAAAGGCAGGGTAGGTGATTTGGTTCAAAAAAAATTTTTGTTATGATGGTTGAAAGTCCCGATATCCCGATAGCAATCATACGTTAAATGGTCTAAATGTATTTATATGTAGGCTATTAATATCGTCTGGAAGGCATAGGACTAGTGTTGTTTTTGGCTGCCTGTTTTAATTTTAGTTTTAGTCTAGTCTTTGTGTGAAGCTGTCATTTTAGTTTTTATTAGTTTTAGTCACGTTCATACTCTTTTTAGTCTAGTCAAGTTTTAGTCAACTAAAAGTCTGAGTTTTAGTCGACGAAAACTGATGACGTTTTAGTTGACGAAAACTGATGACATTTAGTCTAGTTTTAGTCAATGAAAATTGTATTTTAGTCTCTTTTTAGAAATGCAATTCTATTTAACCCAGTCAATATAGTATAAGTACCTAGTAGTATAGACAAAACCAAAATGTTCTTTTAGCCAAACCCATTTCAAACAAGGTTATCTTATTATATTATTGTTACCTTATAGACTCAAGAATACATCCATTCCAGACACGGAAGACGCTCTGATTTGAATTTACAACATTTATTTTACCAACCAAACATGTTAGAAGTACACACACATAAATTGAAATAAAGACGAACCCCGGCTGGCCGGCCATCGGTCCCTTTTTCTGTGTCAGACTTAACTTTGTTTGGTTTTCTCTTCTAAATCAGTGTTTCCTAACCTTTCTTTAGTCGCGGCACCCTTTGGAAATGTTAACAAATTTGTGGCACCCTACAAAATTAATTTTGTCACAATATTTGAATTTCTAACT